AAAAAAAAAAAAAAAAAAAAAAAAATATATATATATATATATATATATATATATATATATATATATATATATTAATTTTTAAAAAAATGGACGAGCTTTTTGACTTTTAGGTGAATGGAAAATAAATTTACAACATTAATAATAGCCATTTATGTCAACGTGTTATTAATTACTATTATTTAGATACCCAAATAAAAATTTTAATTAATTATTTTTAAATTTGACTTATTTTTTTCTTTGAGATATTTTGGAAGGAGGGTTGACCAAGACTTTTATTGAAATTTCTTTTATTATTATTTTATTGTATGGTTGAAAATCTCTTGTATGGGAAGGAAGAAAATTAAATTTCAAACAATCCTATCTTACAATAGGAAAAAAAAAAAATCACTAAATTTACAATATTGACCGAGACCAAGACAAGACAGTTTGAAAGTAGCTTTTAAGTTATCGTAATATCTTTAAAATGAGAGGTTTTAATTTGTAAATTTTCATATTTAAATTTTAATAGTAGAAAAACCGTCGATATACGATAGTTTTTAGAATAAATTCGAGCTATGCTTAAATTTTAATACTTGAAATAGATAATTCCGATGCTCCTAATTCGAAATTTCTATGGAGCGAAACTAGTAGGAATAAGACATCCTCGTCTCCATCTCTATCTCCTATTTTATTTTACATCTCTCTATAAAAATTTTCATTTATTTTCAGATCAGGACAGGAATCCCTCTTGAGGAATTTAAGGGTAAGAATAATTTTTACTAATATTTTATAACAAAAATATATATATATATATATATATATAAAATAATATTCAACATAATTTCTAAAAATTTAAATTAATAACAGGAATGGAGACGAAGAATATAATCTCGACCTCAGCTCCATTTAGCTAATAGAAAAAAATCTCTCCTCACTCATTTTCTCATTTTCCCATTTAAACGAGGATTCTTCATCATGCTCGAGGTAAGTTCCCCTGAAGTCCCGTCCCTATAGATTAAATAAACATCTCTACTCGTAATATCAATTAGATACAAGTTCGAGCTATTTCTCTCTCTCTGTATCTGCCACATCATCCTTTTTTCATCCTAACATATTCCCATAATAATAGTATTTTTTTTAAAAAAAATCGATATATAATATAAATGGAATTAATTGATTTCAAAAAGTTATTATTGAGTCCCAATTTGGCAATAAAATAATTTAATTCTAAATTTAATATTGTTAAACTCGTTACGTCTGCAAAGTATAACCTAAGTTGTGATATTTATATTATATGCTAAACACTTATATTATATTATAAATAATATATCATAAAACTATTATTTATTTTGTTTATGCATTTATTTATTTATTTTTAATTCTAAAATTGGAAAGAAATTATAACTTGAACGTAACTGAATATATTTAAAAACAAATAAAAATGACAACAAAAACGATTGAAAACTTAGTAGAGAAGCATAAAAGTCGGTGCACGAGAAATGACACGTCACCACCCATAACAAATCGCACGGTTTATACGCGGGTTGGGTTTGAACGGAACGGACAACCGTTTTATTTCGGAAGTGGGTCCTACCTCCAGATTGCTTACGGATTTATATTATTTAATTAATTAAATTATGACACGTGTCTGTTATCCTAGCTGGAGCTGAACGGGTTGAAACTGGAATTTCCTTATCGAGTTTGTCAACGAACTCAGGCGACCAAGGAAAAAACATGTAATCCCTTTGTACTTCGTTCTTCCTTTTTACCATTTTCTCCTTCGTTTTACCATTTTCACCCATTTAAGATATGAGGATAAAAGTGAAAATAGATTGGTTGTGAGGATCAGGACGGAGAAGGCTTACTGTCTCGATCAAATTTAAATAGGTGGTGGGGACGCCTTCGTCGTCTCGATTAAATTGAAATAGGTAGTGGGGATTAGGATACAGAAGACTTACTCGTCCCCGTACTTAACCACAGGCATCTCTAACTATATGGTAACTAAAATTTTAAATTTTAAAAATAAATATGGGTGGGAACCGAGGATATTTTGGGAATAAGGGAGAATTTAAAAAATATAAAGAATGGCATACTCTGTTCTTCATTTCACCATCAAAACATCCGCCATAGATCTCTCTCCGGGCTGTCGGAATCAGAACAAAGCCGGAGACTTTCAGTAATCCGGCGAAGCCAAATCGACCATACTCCTATTATGCAAGCTTTCAGATCAGCTCTATTCACTTTGCCTTTTCTCTTTCTTCTCGTCCGTTCTCCTGCCTCCGCCGCCGGTTCTGACCTTTCTCCACGCTTCCATGGTACTCTGTTTTCCTCTGTTTTACTCTGTTTCTCCCTTTTCGATCTTCTTGACTCCGTGTTGACTCCCTCTGTTTTTGTTTTTGGTGGGGTTGGAGCAGTTGGTCGGGGAGAGTTTGCTCCGGCGACGGGGAGGAATCTGGCTGAAGCCACCGTCGGAAATTCGTCGCTGATTTTAGCCAAATCTAGAACGTATAGAAAAGACCCACTTAACAATTTCGCGCGCTATACAGGGGGTTGGAATATCACAAATAAGCATTACTGGGCTGTGAGTTTCTGCCTAATCTACCTCTGTTTCATGTCTCTGTTCTTCTCATCATTGTCTTGTTCTGCAGTCTGTCGCTTACACAGCAGCTCCCTTCTTCACCATCGCCGGAATTTGGTTCATCGTCTTTGGGTTATGTTTAATGTTCATCTGCCTCTGTTATTGCTGCTTTCCAAGGGAGCCTTACGGCTATTCCCGACTGGCTTATGCTCTGTCTCTCATATTTCTCATCCTCTTCACCATTGCAGCAATGTAAAATCTCGCCCCATTTCTCTGTCTTTCTCGCCCGGTTTAAATTTTTGAAACTCCTAATGTTTGGTTTTCAGTGTCGGGTGTGTTGTTTTGTACACGGGACAGGGGAGGTTCCACAGCATCACGACAAGAACACTGGACTATGTAGTGAGCCAAGCTGATGACACTGTCGTTAATCTCCGTAATGTTTCGGATTACCTTAATGCAGCTAAGAAGATCGGAGTTGCTTCAGCAGTTCTTCCTGGTGATGTCCAAAACAAAATCGATGATATTGAGAAAAAGATCAACTCTTCTGCTGCGATTCTGTCTGAAAAGACAGGATCTAATTCAAAGGCTATCCAATATGTTCTTGATCATGTGTAAGTTTAATCCCTTTTAGCTATGTGTTCTTGCTTGTTTGAGCTTTAATGTTTTGCACTGCAGGAGGCTTGCTCTTATAATTCTGGCGGCTGTTATGCTCCTTCTCGCGTTTCTTGGATTCTGTAAGTGTTTTATATGTTTGTCATTACAAATGGATCAAACCCATTTGAGATCTCATGGGTTCGTGTTTGTTCTTGTCATTTCTTGCAGTGTTTTCCATCTTCGGGATGCAATCTCTTGTTTACTTGTAAGTTCATATCTCGGATTATACCGATACGTTTGAATATTGTGAGAGGTTAGGAATCACGAACCTCCTTCCCAAGAATTCTCGACTCGAACAAAGTACACCATAGAGCCTCTCCTGAGCCCTATGGAGCCCTCAAACGACCTCCCCTCAATCGAGTCTCGACTCCTTCTCTGGAGTCTTCGAACAAAGTACACCCTTTGTTCGACAGTTGAGTCACTTTTGACTACTTCGAGGCTCACAACTTCTTTGTTCGATATTTTAAGATTCTATTGACATTGCTAGTTTAAGGGCATGACTTTGATACCATGTTAGAAATTACGAACTATGGCTCTGATACCATGTTAGTAATTATGAACCTCGTGATCATTCCCTAACAATCCTCAGCATGACAAAAACTTGGTTTCCTAATGTCTGCAGCTTCGTGATCATTGGTTGGATTCTTGTCGCGGGCACGTTCGTTTTGTGCGGTGTTTTTCTTCTTCTCCATAAGTAAGTCTTCTCCATCTCTATCTCCACCTCCTATTTCACACCGACGCTGACGTGGTTTCTCAAAATTAGTGTTGTAGCAGATACATGTGTATCAATGGAAGAATGGGTACAAAACCCAACAGCTCATACAGCACTGGATGATATCCTACCATGTGTAGACAACGCCACAGCTCAGGAGACACTCACACAATCAAAGACAGTGGTATTTGGACTCGTTTCAGTGGTTAACGAGCTCATCACTGGAATCGCCAATAAGAACATCCCACCAAGTATTGGACCGCCCGCCTATTTCAACCAATCTGGTCCATCAATCCCCACACTCTGCAACCCATTTCATCTAAATCTCACCGACCGGTCATGCGCCCCAAGCGAAGCAGAGCTGCAAAACGCTACTCAGGTAACAAGATTAGGAGATATATCATTTTAGTCCCAACAATTCTCAACATAAACCAGCTCATTTGACGCAGGTGTGGAAGAGCTATGTCTGTGAAACATCAGCTTCCGATATCTGTACAACACCCGGTCGGCTGACACCGGCCTACTACGGTCAAATGGCGAGCGCAGTGAATGTAAGCTTCGGGTTGTACAAGTATGGCCCGTACTTGGTGAGCTTGGAAGACTGCTCTTTCGTGCGGCAGGCATTCACGGACATACACAACGGCTATTGCCCTGATTTGCGTCGATATACGGAGTGGATCTATGTTGGGTTGGTTACGGTGTCTGCTGCGGTGATGCTGTCGTTGATTTTCTGGGTTATCTACGCACGAGAGCGGCGGCATCGTGTGTATACAAAGAACCATATGGCGTATGAACGCCAAAGATAACAAACAAAACTGTTGTAATGGATGAATGTTTGAATTTTTTATTTTGTATTCAATGAAATTTTGATTTATTAATTGAGGATTACTATCTCTTAACCATTATTAAACTTAGATTAATCCTTAATTAAATTGTAGCATTTATTCATCCAACTCTATAGATTACTAGCCATTGTAACTTACCATTAGGGATGTCAGCTAGCAAGGTTGCTTGTGGTCGTTCTATCGAAGATTTTTTTAATTGATAATGGTCATGTAACAATTCAAGCTCACCGCTAGCAAATATTGATGTTTCCATACCCAAGAATGTTTCGTTATTCTCTCTAATTGATGTGGGATCTTCCATTTATTGGATGATGAAAGTCTCACGTCGGCTAATTTAGGAAATGATCATGCGTTTATAATCAAAGAATATTATCTCAAAGTGGACAGAGGACCTTGGAAAGCTCAAAGCAAAGGTATGAGAGCTTATGCTCAGAGTGGACAATATCATACCATTGTGGAGACTCGTGTTCGTCTAACACCCCTTTGGGACCAGCGTCCTCGTCGACACTCATTCTTCTGTCCAATCAATATGTGATCTCAAAATTCACCCCCTTTAGGGCCCATTGTCCTCATTGGCACATCGCCCGATGTCTAGCTTTGATACCATTTGTAACCGTCTAAGCTCACCACTAGTAGATATTGTTTTTTTTTGGACTTCCCCTTTCCCGCTTCCCCTCAACGTTTTTAATTATAATTTTTTAAAAGAATATAAAATTTTCAAATTTAATATCTTTTATAAACAGAAATATAATATAACGTTGAACAATTTTATATATAAAAATTGAGGCACGTGAGATTGGGATAAGAGATCCGTCCTAGTTTCCTAGTTTAGCAACCACACTCGTTCGTAATGGGTCCCACGACTACGTGTTAAATTGACATATCTATTTATCATTAAATTTGATTTATTAAACATTAATTAATCTAAAATTTGTGTTTACATTTAATTTAAGATAGGAAGTTTGAATTTTTAGTTAGACGTTTTGTAATTGAATAAAAAAAAAAAACCAATGTCTCAAAACTAAGCATCTCTTAATTCCATAATTTTCATAATTTCAGTTAATTTTTCATAGAAATTCGAGGGGCAATAAGGTAATTACAGTTCAGACTCATTTATAAAAATAGGGTAAAGAAAAAGAAGGAACCTCAAACTCAATACAGCAATCTTGTTCCACAAGTTTCCCTCACAAAAAGGATAATCAGTTCACGAAATCTTTTGAACTCTCGAATTCAATGGCCTCAAAATCTGGATCCTCCAATCCCAAACTGCAGAGCATCGGCGGTTCCCGCAAGTGCCTCTGTTCTCCCACCACCCATCCTGGCTCTTTCCGCTGCAGTATTCATCGGAACCGCCGCAAGGTTTCCGCTAGGTCATCGTCCTCATCCATTGCTGCCATTACCACTGCTCAATTGAAGCTTACGATGTTGGCGAAGGCGAATGCGTTGAGGTCGTTTCTTCAGCAGATCATCAATCCCTCCAGTAAAGATCTTCAGCGGCGGAGGAATTTTCGTCCCAAACCTTCCAGGTTTTGCTTGATGAACAATCATGGAACTGGATTGGCTGTTTCTTAAATCGAATTAAGTTTCCTATTTCTGGACGTTCGTTCTCTCGATCCTCTTCGCTGATTTTCGTTTTTCTCGATTTTTCCGTGTGAGTTTGTGTAGGTCTAGCGTTTGTGTACAGATCCAACAGGATATTGCCTTAGTTCAGTTCGATCTTGATGATTGAACAAGTCTTTCTTGAAATATAATTAGATTTTTGTACCGGTTTTTTTTTTTTCCTCTGTTTCTTCTGCTCTGATTCCGGAACTGGAAAATGCAAGCGAACTCGCCATGATCGGAAGATGATTCATGACATCCAGAAGCGTTTTGTTTATCAAGAACAATGTTCATAGAAATTCTTCAATTTCCTTTTCCTTTTTTTTTTTCTGGGAATCATTCTGTTTTTGAGAGAGAATTTGCAGTGTATGGTTGGTTTGAATGTATCTTCAGTTGAATCTACGCTATAGCGAGATTTTCTGAAATCGAAATAGTAAAGGCTATCATAATTATGAATAAAATTATAATTTGTATTGTTAAGTAATATTAATTTCACATCTAAATTACTTAAGCTTTAAGCAAGAATTTTCCATTGCTCACAAGTTTATTGTTTTTTATTGTTCCAGTCATTAAATTTATGAAATTCAAAATTAATATCTTTTTTGCTTTATTACCGACTTTTTTTTAATATAAAAAAACCTGCCAAATTTTGAAAATTAATTTTTTTTTAAACGAAAAGTAAATTTTATTTTATTTTATCAAATATTAAAATTAATTTATTTTGTAAGAATCTTTTTTTTAAATCATTTTTATTAATTTTATAAAATATGTGAAATAAACGTTAAAATTGATTTTTCCTAAATTTCTAGTCATTTATATTTTTTTCCTACAAAAATTTAAATTTATAAATAAGATAATTATTTGTTTGCATTTTTTAAAAACAAAATTAAGTTTAAAAAATGACTAAAAATATTATAAATTAATTATTAGTGACATGACTTTGAAAATTTAATATACATTAAAAAAAAATATTTTCAAGTATCTTTTTTAATTATATTATGTTGAATTATAATAATTATTAAAAGACATAACGGAGAATATTCTGATATTGAAAAATTTATTTCCATATATCATTTTTTATTAAAAGATTCATTATTCAAAAAAAATATATTCCGATATAATTTTTTTTCATATAATTAAAAAAAAAAACAAATATTAAGTTTAAATTCAACTCTTTTGAATTATTCAAACCTAACTCTAAATAAAATACATTTTTGTAACGCCCTCATCGTCAACGCGATTAACAAGGGTTACCATCATCAACGACAACATATTCTAACACCCAATCATAATCTCAAAACGTTTATTCTAACACCCAATCATAATCTCAAAACGTTTAAAAAAAAACATTCAGTAAAACATTTAAAACAATGCTATTTAAACTTAAACCAACCGAAGTAAATTCTTGACAGCGAAAACATAAATATACAAAACAGACACAGACATGGATTCCCAGTAGTCTTTAGTCCGCTGGTCTCGCCCTCGGTTGGCCTGCATCATCTAAATCTGGAAAGAAAAGTTATAATAATTTTGATGAGTAATTAGATTACTCAGTAAGTAGCTAGCTTATCACTCAAGAGTTCATAACTAATATTTCCAGGTGTTTTTAGGTTTTATTCATCATTGACTCCTAGTTCTCTTACTAGGGTCATCTGTTCGTTAATGAGGTATCTCAGCTACCTCCAGCTAGGTTACTGACTCTCTCTCGATATGCTTATCTAGAATTTTCGGACTCGTATGTAAGACTCGCTCTCGGTCAAATACGGCCCGTCTACTAATTGCTCT